ACAATATTCTATCTGAAAGTTTAATCTGAAATTCGAACGATGGAGGAATTCAGCGAATACGAGCGACCGAGTCTCCTCTCTTTTCGATAAAATCTGAACCTGACGAGCGGCCGATTTTCCAGTGGACTCGACACATCGATCACGTGCACGCCTAATAGCAGCACGTGTTGGTGATTACGCTTGGGGGGACCGTAGCTAGATCGGGTCTAGGTAATTACCCGAGCACCACTAGTCTGTACCCCACTACCCCTCAAATCCAACTACCCCCTTTCGGTCTTCTGATGCGTTGTACCGAATCCTCTACACTGAGTCCTCCACGCGCGACGCACCGCGCGCCGTCGATGGTAGCAACACGATTGATTGGTTAACATGTCTGGTTTACCTCTAGTCTGGCCTTGATTATCTATCTCTCGACCCTGTCGACAGCTTATCGAATCCCTTCTCGTTTTCTCTTTCCTTTGCTGATTCTCTGCTAGTCTCTCCGTTGTGTGTACATCATATCATTCAAATTACCGTATTAAATCCCCTCTTTCGATCGGGTGCAACTTTTCTCCTCCTACTGCACACCGGTATGTCATGTCAGAGTAAAAATCGCGCGTTTTATGTGCTCCCACATAATTGAACTTCCCCTATAATCCGTCTATAGTGCGCCTCGATGGCCTCCCCTCTTTTACTCCAACAACGGTCTACATTCTTCTTTTTGCGCTAATTTACTAAATCTCCTAGTCGGAATTATGGTCGACGTCCCTTTAATACTGCTTTCGGGCTCGAGGGAAATATAGTTTTCAATCCGTGTATTTAAACTCGTAACTGTAGACTAAAGTTTCCTGTTGATAGCAAATTAATAACATTTCTTGTTGTTGTGCGGTAAAATTCCACGTAGTATATTTCCAACACAGCCGATCAACATATAACCGACATACAAACTGTACATAATAATACATTTCGATTACTTTTTGCTCCATATACGTTATAATATCCACACGAATTGTTTTGATATATTATAAATAATAAATAAATGTACATATAGAAATAATAAGGGCCAGTGATAAATAAATGCTTATATATGTAGTTTTCCGTTCATATATATTAAGACACATATATATGTGCAGTGTATAAGCGAGTCCGATCAGTTTAATCTTTTCTTGCTGGCCGTATTTCGCAGAACCTTGGGGATGTTGAAGGGACGCGGGTTTATTTCCCAAGAGGGACGTGGGCTTTTTTTCGCAGTCCGACTGCCGCTATTACCCCGGCATAAGGACGGCGACCTCTCTAGTGGCCAAAAATTTCAAGATCGCAAACTTTTATCGTAAACTTTGATGGGATTTCTATCGAGGCGACGCGAAACGTATTTCGCACAATCGTAAACCGCTTTCTTGCGTAACGCGTTTCAAAACTTTAAAAGGGGATCTTGTTGCATACTTTCGCATCGAAAGCGTCTGCGACGCTTTATACATTTTGATGGAATATTATTAGTACAACGAGAAATTCAATGAGAAAAGAAAATATAGTCTTTAGTTTCTTAGTATTTTCTGATTATAAACATGAAAAAGATTTGAGTGACAAACAATGAGATATCGTGGAATATAGATGGATTTTATCGCAGTCGTTTCGCGAATATCCTCAGCATTTCCGATATTCAATCTCACCGCAAAGAAAAGTTTTGTCACTCGACAGGTGGAAACACTCAAAACCATTCTGAAGTGCGACGGAAAATGATACGCCTGGTCGTGCCTGTCGATGCCTCGTGAAAGAGGGTGAACGACATATCGCGATTCTTCTCGCATCCCCTATCGCGCTTTGGGTGCCAAAGAGGAGCAGCTTTGCACGCCAGCTAACAGCGTAGCTGCGTGCATGAATTGCTATTGAAGCACGGAGAGATATAATTCTCGCCACTTAGGCGAAGTTGCCTTGCGGCCAGACAGTCGAAAGGGTGTCTGGTGTTTCAAGGGCTCTTCTCTCAGACTGCACAGCATCGTGCAGATGCTCCTCTCCTCCGATTTGCTAAAAAAAGAAAAATCTCGCGTTTTTCCGTGCACTTATGCATATGCATATGTAAAGTTTTGCACATTGCGGTATAAAATATATATTCGTCCATCGGTGCACATCGCGATATAAAATAATCTGTTGCAAATGAAACTCGGACGATAACAGCATTCCATATACAGAAATGTCAATGTAATTGTGTATTAATAAATGCATGAGTTTATATCATGTTTATGTACAGTATATTATTATTCATATAAATCAATAATATTTTTTAGTTTATGTCAGATGTAAAAACACGATCGATAGACTATCATGAATCTCATACACGTAATACATACATACATAGTATGAGATATTTTATTGCAAAAGCGGTAGCGAAACACGAAAACGAATACTTGTGACCGTGGCAGCGCGTATTTCATAGTGTATCCGCTCGTAAAACCCTCAAAAACTAATTTGAAAAGTGTTCCGGCCTTTTTCAATACTCCAACTTTTACGCGCCTAGCTTAAATATGTAATAAAGGCACGTACGTACTTTCACTTTAGCGACCCCGTAAATCCATAACGATCGTTATGCATCACCCATCGCCGAAAGTACATTATCCTTAAATAGGGAGGCGAGGGACTTGGATCCACTGTGTCTTGCCCGTCTCAAGATCACATCATTGGTGGAACGACGATTAAGGGTACGTACTCGAGACGTCTCATTCCAAGGTTGAAAAGCGCCGGTGGATTACCTTTGCAAAATACGAGAGGATTCTATGGACTGCGCTGATCCCCCTATCGGAGGACGTGGGAATACAATCTCTCATATCCCGCATTCTAAAAAGTAGCTTAAAAAAGCTTTCACTAAGCTAACAAAGAAAAGAGAGAGAGAGAGAGAGTATATCTTCTTCAATCTCTTAACGATTCTAATTGTGAGATTATCTTTAAGGGTGCAAAATGTTATTATCGGATTCGCAAATAAGTAAGTATACAACAGGGATGGAAATGAATATCATGAAATGGTATCCAACTTTTAGGAATGATAGAGGGAACGAAAATAGAGGAGAAATTTTTAGGTAAGATATCTCACGAGCCTTACTTGAAAGTTCGTCAGTGTCACGCGTTTACAACCTGTGATATGAGGGAAAGGACAAGAGAGTGAGGAGCAGGCTGGAAATAGCGACGGCAACAGGGAGAGCCTGGAATTTCGGAAAATTTAAGCCTGCCGACATCCATCACTGCACGCGACAGTCCTCCCGTCGCTTCAACGTCAGCCCGCGTAGCTCTTTTTGGGTCTGCCAGAGCGCACGAGTCGGTACATGCATGCATACGTGAAGCCGCAATAGCTGTAACACAACGTAAAATCCGTCGCTCGTTGTATGGAAAATCGTGGTGCGAAGTGATGGCGGATGTCGTTCGATCTTAAGCGGTAAACAGCTAGTGACATGGATACGTTATTATCCTCAATTTGTATTACATTCTGCATTTAAATTTTGCATTATTATATCTTTTCTCAATCGGTTTTTAAAATAGGGTATATCACATATACATTCGTCTTCACTGTTAGGTATTAAAAGACCAATGCTAACCCAATCTCTTGAGTAAAATAATATTTTGTTAACTTCCATTTGGGACAAAATGTAAATTAATCCATTTGCGTTGTTAGTTTCAAAGTAAACGTCGTCCATATTAACGTATGTACGTAGTAAGCAATAAACTAAACTTGAGTCAAATTTAATATTGCATTCTTTTAGTTAAATTGTTTGACTCTATATTGTTTTAACCATATTAACATATCGAATAAGAGCAGTGACAATCTATAGAAATAATTAAAAGTAACTCAAATTATGGATATAAATTGACATTATGAATTTAACAATGTTATCTTTTATTTTTCTCTTCCACCCTGGATTTCGGTAAATCAAGGAACGTTATCTTCACTGTTTTAATGAATGGAAAGACGATACGAGAGTACACAAAGCTTCGCTGGGGAAAAGATACACGCCACTCACCATAAAGCCTATTACGTTCCTTTACAAATATAGCTACTGCGGGCAGGTCGATTGCAACTGACAGTCAAATTACAAAAGCGCGTATTACATTTTACGCCGGCTTTCAACCTGATACGCACCGTCGGATTATACCGACGTAAATAATGGAAAATTGCAACATTCGTGGAAAAAAATGTATTTTGCCACATGCCAGAAGCACGCTAAAACTCGTCGCTAAAATGGAGTACTCGGTGTACACTGTCTAAATATACATTTCTTTATAAATTTCTCGTACGCATCTCACTCATTATTAGTCGTTTCGATCATGTAGAAACGAGAGATTATTACACGAGATGTTACAAAATTTCGTGAAAATTTAAGGTCGACAATTAATTTTCTCTTTTCAGCAGGAGAAACCATTTTACTGTAGATTTAAAAATTCAGAAATCGTGATATAGCGAGAGAGGGACAGCGAAACGGATAGCACGTAGGAATAACGCGCGCGCAACATGCGTCGTGCATCAAGCTCATTCACTCCGTTGTTTCCGAAAGAGCTTCCAAATAACCAAAACTTTCGACGTCAGGATCATGGCAACTAACCTCGCTAAATTCAAAATTTACTAGTATATATACTCCAATTTTGTAAATTTGCATTTCAATGGCCCACTTGTCAGTGAACGAGATTCCAGTTACCACGTAAGAGAGAACAATATAATTTCAGTATAATACGGCAATAACGAGCAGCATAATACAATAATGTATGGCAATCACTACTTAATTTAGCGTATATGACAATTACTACTTAATTATCGTTTAAGCACGAATTTGTGTCGACATACAATTTCACAATTCTGCGCTTCTGCCATCATTCTGAGTTATTATCTTTCGCACTATTTCCAGTCTGTATTACAGATTTTGTAAATAATTGTCGCTATGATCGTCCAATTATTGCGTAACAATTCAATATTATAACTATAATTCAATATTATAGTCGTAATCCACTTGTTCGTCGATTTTGCAGCCACTATGCTGAGCAGCTTATTCGATCAGAAATCCCGATGACCGAGCTACCGGTCGATCTGTCACAAGATGGAAACGAAAGTCGCAGATACAAAAATAACCCACTTCTATATTCCGATGTCCGCGATTTCATATCGCGAGAAGACAACGAGTCACTGGATAAAAGTTATGGAGACGGTTCTTCGAATGAAATATGCGCCTTTAAATTGGATCAGGGAAAGATTGATGAGTTCGCAAACTATTACCGCTCTGAAACGTGCGTATCTTCCAGCCGCGAAAGCGCGATACAAAAGGAATCTTACAAAGAAACGATCAAAAATGATAGCACTCTCTCAAGGAACGAAGATGAATCTCGATGCAAATCGAATCGTAAGAGAAGAACACGTCACAAGATGCCCGATGGTGTTATCATTGATCTTAGCAATGATGTTTATGGCACTTCCCGCGGCGGCATAAAGATCAGCATTATTTCCACGCATAATCTAATGCCCAAAATGAAATTTGTTACAGTACCAAAGTATGAAGTTTCTTTTGCAACACACAATGATATACCTAGATATCTAAAGATTTTCTAAATTCTTTAAAAACCTCATGTACGTAAATCTTTTTCAGGAAACAACATTCAACATGGAATCGCAATCCGAGAAAAATGATGAAGAAAATGATCGACAATCCTACACTGACTGTACTTTGTGTCGAAAATGACAACAAAGTGAAGAAAACTCGAAGATCAATGAAACGCAAATATAGAAATTATTCAAAAAAGTCAATGAATAACACATTACATGAGAATGCCAATACGAATGTCAATGCACCAAAAAAATTCAAAAACATATTAAATGGACAACAAAAGTTACATGTAGAAAATAGTGTGCAGTCGCTTTGTACGCCTCACAAGATTCTTGGCTCAACGCAATGCTGTCATCATGATAACGCGGTGGTTGATATTGATAATATACGATATTCGATATTGAACACAGACCAAACATGTACCGACGCAAAGAAACGTACCACGAACTACTGCTGTTCAATTTTTAACGATACGCATCAAGAATATCACATTTGTGATGGGAAAGATTATAATAGAGATGGTTCTGATTTCAATGCCGAGATGCAAACTGATTGGATGGCCGAGTGCTTTTATCCGGAATATACCTGCACGAAGAGATGTCGATGTTTCTATGACTCAAACGAGTGCGATACCAACATAAATATGCAACGCGACCGTTGTCTCCTGATGTCACGAACGGCAAGACCGTTCGAAAATTCTGCTCTTTTGAAAGAGCATCAAAGAGAAGAGGTCGAGCGACCCGGATCGAATATCGTGCCTGAATTCACAACAGAAGCCGATGAATATTCTCCAGATGGAGCCGAACGGTACACGAACTGCGACGGAGAGAAAGGAAGTTCGGCGAGCACAATCCGGAAACTCGCCGAGCCTGTCGGAAGCGTTACCGATCTTCACGATTCACGTCTCGTGGATGCATCTCTATGTGAAATTGATACACGTTCTGGAAAGAGCGGATGGTGGACGACGACGAGGACAACGATGGTGGAGAGAGACAGCGATCGGTCATATAAATCAGATTCTCTGAAAGCCGCCGACACGTGGGATACACGCGCGTGCAGAGACAACTGTATTGGGCGGCATTGCGCAGACTGCGTTGTCGCGAAATCGTCGCGTTCAAACCAGTATCCCGGGGAAAAAGGCGGATCCGCCCGCGGAGTGGATTCGAAGTGGAAACGAGGCTCCATTGAAACTGACGTTCAACAATTGGATTACAAATGGAAGAGAAGAATCACGACCGTAGATGCCGGTACACGCGCGAGGGTGGATTTCAAAGAAAAACGTGATTCCAGGTGAGAGTCGATTTGAATGAGATATGGCTGCATGATAAAGGAACCGCGCCGCTTTTCTCGTCTCTCTTTCTCTCATCGTTACCTAACGTCGACTATGTCCAACAGATATAAATCGGAAGAGGCGATTCGTGTCCAATTGCGCGAAAGCGCAGAGATAAGGAAGCGCAAGAGCCTGCAGGAAATGGTCGAAGCAACGTTAGCCTCCGCCTGATTTTGGCATTACAACATACATTTATTACCGATAAATAGAATTCCCCACTTATCTCTCGTTCTGTATATTGCTTTGAAAATTGTTCTCATTTTACGAGTCCTCCTCTAACAGTTCTTATTTTATATAACATTTATGTATATTATGTATTACACGCTTTCATTATTATTTTTTTACATGAAATAATTGGAATTTAATGATACGTAATCTGTTTTTTTTTTTTTTCTTAATCGTTTGATTTAAACTGATCCGATTTTGAGTCCGAAAACTTTTTAAAATCGTTAAAATATTTTCAAAACTAATACAAGATACCTATATGAGCCTCCTCTATTAGTTCAATTTAAAAGAAAAATCGATTTTCCAATTAAAGAATTTAAGAAAGAAATGCAATATATGTCTCTTAAATTCTATATGTATCAAACTTAAATATTAACAAATTAATGCTAATGTTTTGCAAATAAAATAAAATGTTAGTGATCCTAAGAATAAATCTAATACAAGTAAAATGCCTATGTGAGAGCCTCTGTGGATATTGGTCCTTAAATTAAATTTTCATTTGACTTCTGTTATAGAAAGACTCAAATCCAAAGTTGAAACATTTGCGTTCACTTTAACTTTGTTTGATAAGTATAATACATTCTAATTGTATCTATCACATTATGAATATTTAATTTACGTACCACATTCGTAGAGGCTCATATAGGGCAGTATTCATAGTTCTTATTTTAAGACCATCTTAAGTAATATCTTAAGATGCTAATACAGCTGTCTTCGTGATTGGTTCATGACACCTCAAAACTGAACTTAAGAGCCTTGAATATAAGAACTGACTATGAATACCGGCCATAGACTTTATTTACATTAAATTTATCCTTGGAATCATCAATATTACTATTTTATTTTATTTGCAAAACGTTAATATCAATTTTTTTATTATGTAATATACAATTTCAGTTTGCTACATACGGAGTTTATGTTGCATTTCTTTCTCAAATTATTTCATTAATTCAAACTAAATTTTTCTCTTAAATTAAACTAACAAAAAGCACGTTAAAAGCTTATCGCAAAGTTTCCAAATGTTTCACAGGTCACAAACGAGGAGTGACAATATAAACACAGACGGCAAACATCACGAGACGCGCGATTACTCTGTTTGGACGAGTTTACAGATGGGCAAAATTTGGTCGCAAGTGCACGACGCGTGCAAGAACGTCGTAAAGCTCGCTGCTACGAGCGTCGGCCGTGTTGTGAAGGATGCACCTAAATCGGAACGTTCGCAGAGAAATCCCGTCGAAGTGGCTGACGCGACGCTCGTTGAGAGCACGTCTTCGTGCGCCGGCAAAATATGCGGTGAAACGTGTCGTAAAAATTTAATGCGTTCGAAGAGCGAGGAAAAAACGGAGGCGCGTCAAGAACGTACAATCGGGGACGTGGGAAAATATCGCGGGGATACAGAAGCACCGATGCGGAAAAATTCGCGGACCATTGCACCTACTCGTCACGATATGCAGAAGCATACGTATCAAAACGCCGAAAAAGAGGAGGACGGAGAGTCTTGTGTGAATTACAGCGGTACGATTAATAGTGATCAATCCTCTACGCATCTACCTGTTGCATTGACACAGTCATCGAAACTTGTGACTTATATTCAACAAACAGCACACACACACACACACACATATTTGAATTAACTTAGAAAATATATACATTTTTTTTTTTAAGAAAACATTTTTTTATACAAACGATAACGTAACAACAAAACATTCATTTTTTTTATCTTTCACTGCTTTTCAATTTTGTCGGGTTTTCGATTTTTCTGTCGGTCTCTTTGTACTTGCATCTCTCCGAATATGTGAACCATAAATATTGCGCTGTAACAAAAAAAACGTATTTTTTTGGCTAAATGAAATCGAAAAAAGATAGAGAAATTTTTAAATAAATATAAATTTTTTTCAGATTTGCGTTAGAATCAAACAAAAATTCCTAAATATTTCATTATAATTTCAGGATAATCTTTTTCTTTGAAAATTTCCAAATTTATATACATTAGACAAAGGATGTTTATATTCAAATTTTACATTAGCCTTTACCTACGCAAGAATTTGCATTTAGATACGAATGCTTGTACAATATTCAATATCATAAAATATTCTCTCGTTTCCAGCGTATATAAATTTCTCGCCTTTTTGATACGGAAATAATAATTGCTCTTCTAGAATATGAACATGGCAGGTATCGGAATATCGTGGAATTTCAACCACGGAATGAAACGTATGGCCATGATGAAGATGTACATTCTCAATCCCGTTTGAGTGAGTCCTTCATGTATCATGAAAAATTTACGTATCCAGGACTTCGCAATAGAGGTGGTAGCGATGATAACCGAAATTTTGTAAGGGGCACCGTAGACGATCAATCTACGCATGATACTTACGAAGAAACAAAATCTGTCAAATGTTATCAAAATTCTAAAACATGCGTATGTTACGATAGGACTCAAGAGACGCACGTTTATTGCAGTGATCAAAGCTTGCAGCAGGTGGCCTGTTACGAATTATCTGTAACTATAGATCAGGCAGACACATCAGTTGCCTCGCAAAATAATTCACTACATCATGAATCTCAATCGACGAACGTATCCTCTTCTGAAGATAACAGACGAGTAGAAACATCCGCGACGTCTGAACAAACACGATCTTATGAGGAAACCAAAGAAACGTGCGAGGAAACGTGCGAAGAAATATGTGAGAGTATCGAGGATACGATCGGCGAGGACACGACCGAAAAGAGCTTCACGTCAACGATTGCAATTGCAACAGTATCCTTAACGAAAATGGATCTCACGGTTCACTCATTGCGGAATCTCTCAGACGAACCGATAGCGTCAACTTCCAAATGGGAAACGTCACCTGTTTCACTGGGAATATCGCGAAAAAAACGTCCCGGTTTTAAATCCCCATTCTGTGCGAGGGCGATGAAATTCTTGAGAATGCGATCGTCCGATAATAAAACCGCCACGCTTAAACGGAGTAGAAGGGGTATCGGAAGAAAGGAGCTATCAAGTACGGCCACTACTACTTATGATAACGGAGTGAAGATTATGCAAATAGATCCATCTATTATGCAAACCGATCGAGAAGGCAATAAGAGGCGAGCCTATGTAAACGTTCAAGGGCAAACACCTGACGCGATTGTTACGAGAATTTTATCGGAATTCCTTCTCAGTGGCGAGAAGAAGAAGAAGAAGGTGTTGATGACTGTAATGCTGCAATCAGAATCGGACGATAAAAAAGAAGCTGAAACGCAAACATCATCAAGTAATATAACTTCCAGAGGAATCAACATGATTAGTTATCCAGACAATCGTCCTCACGGTGCAATTACAACCACGTCGAAAACAATACAATGTTTCGTATGCGATAAACCAGAGTGTTACGAAATTAGAAAGTCGGATAATTCGATCTCTTTAGAAGAGGCGTTAATCGCAGAATATCCGGAAACGTCTGAATTGAACGATTATTTAGCAGAACGAAAAACAAACATAACAATTCCTTTATAATTTATGCTCAGAAAATTTCCTTGAGAGCAATTTATATAAATAAATATATCTGTCATAATGTAAATAATAAATTTAAGTAGCAATATTGCGAAATTTGCGTTTGTCAACTTTTTGGTGTAGCTTAATCGAACTACTTCGAGATATCGAGAAAATCAGAGTTTCAGTTAACTTAATTAAATCTTATATACAGTAACCTCACATTTATACATGTATTAATATTTATGTGTCTATTTTTGGCTATGGCATATCAAAAATGTACTCAACGTGTTCACACTCTGTTGAAATTTATATCAAAATTGAAATTTTACTGATGAATAACAATGAAAACAAATAAGTTAATTATGAATCTCTTCTGAAAATTACACGAACGAAATTATACGTTGCAAAATAATTTTCTTATTCAACATGTGGCAAAATTGCAATTCTGTCCATTCAATATTAATATATTCAATTAATCATATTCAATATTAACGGAGTCGAACTATGTTCTAATAATAATATCATTCATATCGAACAAACATATTGAACACATTAAACATGGGAAATAATAAAATCGGTGATTCTGGCACAAATTGTCAGATTAAACAAACAGATTATCCCCTTTACCGCGATACTCCAAATGCAACCGATGGAGATTCATCAACATCAGAAAATCCGAAGTTCTTCCGTAGGATATTGAAATATTTAGTTCGCTCTACTGCACGAATAAAACAGAGCAAAAAAGATAAATGTAATATAATAAAGAAGCGAAGTGTCAGTACGTGTAAATCTGAAGAAAAAGTATCTGTATACACTTCATTATCATCGATTATAGATAATGTAATTAAATCCGATGCAGAGGTTGCCGTCAAGCTGAAGCGAAAAATGGTCGATGCAATTACCTCCACTACAAGAACAAGTAATATTTCTGATAAAGTAACACGTGAAAATCTTTCAGGCACCATAGAGCACTTTGTTCACGGCACATCTTATCGATATGCGGAATACGCTGCGAAGGATGTGGATAACGTCGTTGTGGAACGTGGCTGCGGTCCGCTATGTATTGGCATGACTCAAAGCGTTACCGCGGATGGAGAATTCAGTTTGGAGACAAGTCCTGATGCTTTCGCGGAAGCATGCGAAAAAAGGCGGCAAACGGACCATATTCTCGAGGAAATTGCGAAAGTCTCCGACGCTTTGACGGAAAAAGCGCGTCTCATTTCCGCGAAAGAACAGGCGGCTTCAATCCTCGCGTCCGTATCGGCGACGCCTGCGAAATATGAGATGGAGGAGCAAATATGTGAAGATACGATACCATTAAGATCTCCGTCGATTATCTACGTGGAAGAGACACCAACTACTATAGCGAAAGAAAAACCAACTGTTATAGTGGAAGAAAAACCAGCTGTTGTAGTGGAAGAAAAACCAGCTGTTGTAGTGGAAGAAAAATTAACTTTTGTAGAGGAAGAAGAACCAGCTGTTGCAGTGAAAGACAAACCAACTGCTGTAGCGGTAGCAGTTGCTTCAACGACTGTAATACAGCCAGAAATACACAAAAAAATATTAGAATCTCCTCCAAACCACTTTGCACCGAACTCACGAGATTATTCGGCAAGCTTAGACAAATCTCTGAACGCTTCGGATGCCCAAGTAAAACCATTGGTAGAAAACGTAAAGAAAACTAAAACGCGAACAGTATCGATCACGTATCCGGAAAGAGATGATCTTTTAGATACCGCAGCTCCTGTTATTACTAGGAAAAAAAAAGAAGAAAAAGAAGAATTACAGAAGAAAAGTTCTCTACGACGAATGTTAGACAAACATGTTTTTACTGACAAAGCTGAAAATTGTGTAATTATAAATTGCATTCCGAAGCTAAAAAAGAAAAGACCCAAATCTTTAGATCAGCCAGATAGCGCTTTAAGACAAAAAGATACCAAGACTGATGTTTCAAGACAAAAAATTGTAAAAAAGGTCGATTCTTTTACCAAACCTTCAAAAATGAAGAAAGAATTAGTACAAATAACCAAAGATATTCCTCAAGAATTTGTATCACGCAAAAAGCCAAAATATCGGGCCAAATATCGTATTGATACATCAGATATAGTAAAAAAAGAAAAAAAGCCGCATTTGAAAAAGGTACCCAAGGACTTTGAAATCTCGAAATACACGTGTCTCGTTAAGTTGCCTGAAGTGACAAAAGCTCCTAAGGTTTTCAAAGATTCCGAAAGACCAACAATGGAAATGTATAAAGATTGTTGTAGAACACCATCGGGATATTTAGAACCAACAAGATATTGCAAGGATTTAATATCGAGCATCCAGTGTAGAAGACCCAAATATTGCGATGTTTGGACTACTCCATGCTTTAGCTCTGAAGATACCTTAAACGGAGCACTTCCGCAAGATTCATCCGCACTCAAATATCATGCCAACTGTCATTCGCTAATTGACATTTCGTCCAGATGTAACATTGATGCAAACTGCACAAAACATAGGGTAACGTTTGAAAATTCGTTATGCACCAATACGTATTGCAAGAGCGACACAAAATATTGTTATCCCCATCTAAATAATATTGACAACGTTCGAATGAGATATTATCATTGCAATGACATTTGTCCAGTATGGAATAACAATCAACAGTGTGGGAGGGATCGATCATATTACTGGACAAAGGGGAATTTATATTTCACGCACCAATGGACATCGGAGCATTTGTTGCGATATAATTGATATTGACAATGGCAAACATACGATATTTAACGTCGCTGAGTAATTCGAATTTAATCATGTCGGAAATATAAAATTAACGTGCCGCTTTTTATTGCTTACGTATAATTTTTTTATGAGATTTACGATACAGGGCGAGATGATGAGGACTGAGCAAATTAAAATGGATAAATATGCGACGTAATCTGTACCGCGGTCAGTGACGTGCGTCAATCCTAATTATATTTCACACTACATACTAATTTTAGTTATTAACCCGTATGTGCGAGTAGTCATAAAGTTTCGCGTCCCGTCCAACGTGTATGCATGTTAATAATTAAAATTAATAACGCGCCAAATATAGTTGCGATATACGTGCGACAGTCGACGCATTGATGCCAGACGACAAGAGAACATATCATACGATATATTAATGCGGACAGAATGATTATATGTTTGCATAGAAATTTATATTACTCATTATGACGACCAGTTCAACAATGATTATTCAACAATAATGACAAATAGGTCGAGCCTGCATTTCGAGAAATGATAGAAATCAAAAGAAATACTTCTGCATTGCAAAGTGACGCTTATTACGGAAAAATTGCCAGTCACAAAAGAAGCGAGATCGTCTGAGCGCTTTTTCATGCTTAAGAAGCTACTTAGCTGTTTAGGAAATCTCCACGAACAAGAAGAAACCATCGCAGACGCGAGACCGTTACCGTCCTCGCAAGAAACGCCAAACAGTGTCGAAAAGAGCTTGCGGGCGGCCGAAGAACTTTGCATCAACGGGTCCCGGCGGGGACGTTGTCGTATCCTTAAGCGGCCTTCGCGGTTGGCGATTGCGGCGAAAGGAATTTCGCACAAGTTCGTTGCGAAGTTCCTAGGAAGTCCACCTGCCGAATGCAATGACCAAAAACCTAGTCTGGAAAGCGACAACATATATATCTGTTTCCTCGTTATCTATTCACGCGCGGTCCGGAAGGTATGGGTACTAATTTGTTCATTTTTTCAATAAAAATTAATTTTATGATAAAAAGTAGTAAAAAATAAATAATAAAGAAGTTTTTAATTAAAATGCGAATAAAAATAGTCAAGATATAAACAATTATGAAAAAATTAATAATTAGAACTGAGAGTCTAAACATAATACAGTCATACATAAAATAATAAATCATCTATTTAAAAAAATGAAAAAGTAAAGTTATCATTTTTTCAACCTTATTGTATTTACGTCTTGATCATTGTTTATCATGAGTTGCATTTGCATTTGTCAAACTTAGTTTTCTTGTCATTTTCAATCAAAAGTTTATTGTTCAAGAATTACAGCGACAGAATTATGTCTAATTATATTCTATATGATGTCTAATTATTTATTTATACTGATAGATTTGCCATACGGTCAACCATTCGAAGTGTGTAGCATACAAGAGAACGATTTGAAAGAATCTTGCACCTTAAATCATCTTTAAACTCGAAGTGCATCAAGACGAAAACTTTGTCAAAGTTTATGGCAATCTATTCGGCAATCTCTCTAGATGACCAATATATGAGAAAAGTCAAAATCACTTAACGAACAAACTCGTGAACCATACAGGTAGCGTTATGACATGCTTGCCGTTGTCATAAGCATTACGGTCGTATAACAGGTAGCTTTATACAGTGGCGAGACTTAACGTCATCCTAGTGGATGCATTAGACAGGCAGCGTCGGAAGATTTACTATTCAACTTCGACATCGTACAGTACGAAACTTCGCCCGCGAGGCGAAGGAAGTACGATATCCTTCGACAGAACGACGCACCACGCCGCCTTTCACGCTAAGTACTGCATTCGAGAACGCTGATGTCGACGACGACGACACTGGAGGTTGCCAGAACTGGAGTTGCTCTACAGACGACGATAATGACAAGGTAGAGGGCGAGGAACTGGCAGGGTTGCAACCGCGTTGAATCGCACGAAGTAACAGCGAGGAAACTTCGTAACGTCAGACTTCGCGACGACCATGAAGGCACACTTCCCCGATAGGAGATCTCGGTGCAGAAGAGTCGAGGAGGGTGCGAAGGGTCTCATAATATGCCCCTCGACGTCTCTATCCGTTGCCTTATCACGCTAAGTTGATTAAACACTCCCCTCCGCCCGCCCCCGTTGTTGTTGTTGTGCCTGTGTACCATGTCCCATCGTCGTCCAGCTTGCAACCCGGGCCGTGGCATCCACCTCTGGTCTGACCGACCTCCGTGCAATCTGCCGCCGTGTAATCCGCCGGCGTGTAAACCACCCTCGTGTAAACTGTCCCCGTGTAAATCACTGCCGTGTCCAACGGCCTGTCCGCTGCCGCCGTTGTACGACAACGTCTCCGTGTTCAACGTCTTTAGACCGTCCAATTCCGACCAAGAACCGGCCCCATGTTCCAGGCAACTCCGTGTTCGATAGTCTCATGCTATTCGCGTGAAACACGCCCGACTCGCAATGAAAGACGGGACTATGCCAATAACGGTGAAAGGGTTGCTTGTTAATTTGGCTAAAGTTAAACGTAGATTGTTGCTACAAAGAGATCTTTCTTGTGCAAGTGAGTTATACGATTTAACAATCTCATTCTAATAATATACCACAATATATCATAATATACAATAAACAGCTTTACATCTGTTTACAGCACAGTTATGATACAGCTTTGTTTCAATTTTGATTAAACGTTTATAGCGGATAATGTTACATTTGATATTATATTTCCTCTTTCTCGGTCGCATTAATTTTAATATTTTATTAATAATATTTTACTATCAAGTTTAATTGTACTATTTTATGCTAAATTTTTGACATCTCTCTTTCTCTCTCTCTCTCTCTCTCTCTCTCTCTCTCTCGGTTATTGTCCTAGAATAAATTTCTTTGTTTATCTATTTATCTTTTCACGTAATGTATGCGCGTGCAAAAATGTTAATATCACGTAATTTACGCTTGAATTTTGCTAATAGTACATTGAATGTAAATTCTTGACCTACAAAAATCTTTCTTCTTGCGAAAGATGTCGCGGTCAATTGTGTGGAAAGACCGATATATAGTTGCGCAAGTTCCGGTAGCGGAACGAGCTGCTTGCTGAGAAACATCGGTTTGAGATGCTGCGTCGTTGGAAATTCGAGCTGCGGAGAATGTTACTAATGATTCATCGCTTTAAAGATTCCATGCTCGTTGCACATTCTAGAAATTAATAAATAAAACAGTTTCCTCCCGATGCAATTAAGTGAATTTATCGTTTCTGGAAACGCACAATTTACTTGATTAAACAGGATGCTTAATTTTTGCTCGGTTGCCATAAACGTAAATCGTCGATGTTTTTCTTAATTCTCTGCCATGTGGAACTTTGAAGATGATATTTTTATTGTGAATTCTAGCAAATAAATTCAAATCTGTAAAAAATAAGTAACGTGCAAGGAAAGAATCGTTTTCCTTAGATATCTATAAATTTAACTACTTAGATACAAATTTAAAAATAATTATAACACGCTCTCAAACTAGTTGTTAGAATGTAAAAACTTTTTATAACATTATTTATTATACTTAAATTTTTTACGTAATTATTTTGATAATATGACAAAATTATTTTCTGCATTATTTAAATTTTTTAAATAATTTAATTTAAATTTTTTAATAATGCAGTAAGTAAAATAATTTTTCCTGGTATAATCTAATTTTATATAATAGGAAAAACTTGTTACTGAAGCTTTCACAAATATATAAGAATTTATTTTAGATTTTTGTGCAGTCCAGAACAATATTAAAATTTGAGAATTGAAGTTTAAAGATTCAGCTGTGTTACTGACGAAAGATGCAAAATTCCACTTGGCCGAGGGAGGGTTAAAGTTAATGACAATTACCATAACCTAACATAAAGATAATTAATTTGGATTAACATTGAACAACGACATGTAAAATATATGCGAAACCTTAACGATGAAACTGTTAAATTGTTTACGAGACAATCGACATTGGCCAAAACGTGTGCTCGGCATCTCAAAATTATCCGCTTACGAATTTCTTAAAATCACGCATTCTGACTTATCGCAAAATCAGTTATTGAGTCAGTTGAGAAAACAAAATATAGATCCTGATGAGATTCTCGCGGAGCATCATCGACAGCTTGCCTGCGAGAAAGAACTTGCGCGCATTCTACATAATCTCAACGTCAATTGTCAGATTATGAAAAGGTAATATGCTTTACGAGAGAGTTGCTTTGTAAGTTAACGAACCTGCTGTTACCGTAGGGCTTTTTCTTCTTGGAATAGAGAAACCATGACATAATTTCTCGAGGTCGATGCTCCAATTTATGGAAAATGCAAATATTATTAATGAATTAAATTTAAAAGATATAATTTATCTGTGATCGAATACAGAATAGGCGACGCGAGATGCGTAGATTGGGCCGACTTGGTGATCACAATCGGCGGAGACGGCACCTTTCTCTTGGCCTCGAAACTGATAACGAATAATAAAACGCCGATTTTCGGCATTAATCCGCATCCCGAAACTAGCAATACCTTCACACTGCCGATTAACTACAGCACGGACATCGAAAGGATATTTGAGAAATTGCATGCGGGAGATTACACTGTCTTGATGAGAAGTCGTATACGTACAGTAATGACAGGAGAAGGACTATATCAACAACCTTTTCACGTGCACGAAAAGAGTCGCGTGCAAGGCGAAAAAAGAGTCGAGTGAGTAGATTGATTTATCTTCTTTTTTTGTCAACACAAACGTTTAAAACATAATTTTTTCCATTCTATTAGCAAACGTGTTCTATACTGAAAGAAAAACTTGCAAATTTAAAAAAGAAATTTCTCTTAAAGGAATATTTCTCTTACAGAAATATCTCTCTAAAATCCATGTCGTAACATTATTTATCTCGCTTTTCTTGTGCAGAATTGTATTTTATCTGCAAAATTTCTCTGTATTCTTCTCAGAGATGTAGTCGTCATTTTCACTTGAGTCGTAGAAGCGAGATGGAGTACGTTATAGAATAATAGCATTAATAAATCAAGCATACTAAAGCGAATAGGGCCGAATGGGGCGAGAAAGGACTTACAAGGTGGGCGTCTTTCCTTTATTCGCAACTGGAAAGGAAGTTTCTTCGGAATAATATTAACGCGTAACACAAAAAGATAAGAACTCCAAATGCTGCTTTTTGATAGTCGGAGAATGGTTTTGCGAGCACAGCTGCGTAGCAAAACGAGAAATAACAAGATTGACGGAGTGGAGACGCAAGTGCGGCCTTCGTCGCCGCGTACGGAAAACCGGCGCGGCACAAGAAGTTTACCGTATAATTCCGTTAGCCCGCGTAGATAGAGAAACATTAGAGCGCCGGTCGTCGAAAATGACGTCCCGCGCTAAACTTTTATTTACTGGCTACTCCCACGACGCAGGCCAAAGTTGAAATAAGCAGCTGGTATCGCCGACCCCCTACGCCTTCGCGAGGACGTTGCAGTGCGTCTTCATTGCCCAGCCCGACTTGGTCCTCTTCTCGCAACCGAAGTTCCGAACTACAGCTTATATGCGCGTTATAACTTCGGTAGTTATAACTTGTAAATTACAAGGCCCGCGTAGTTACAACTTGCGCAAGGAGGTCGTAACTTTTGGATTCGCGGTGAATTTTACGGTGTGCGATGCGGAGCTCTTCTTAAACCCTTATCGATTAATCAGAATGAAAAACTCTCGAAAAGAATTAGTTCGACGATTAGATTTAATTCAACATTTCCAACGGGAAACAATTTAACCGTCGCGCACTTGATATTCTATTATGTCTCTCCATGTAATCTCTCTTTCTCTCGTAAACTCGTTCTCGCGTCTCATTAATTCCTTTCGAGTTTCGCGATGTCTCTCTAAAGGTGAGCTAAACAAATGAAATCTTTGCAGCGCACTCATGAGATCCACTCAGAGGAAAATAGCGGATGCCCTGCAGCCCCGTCGGAGAATTTTACCTTGGCTGGCATTAAACGAGGTTACATCTGACGTAAAGCGTTTTCTACGCCGGTCCGATCGATAACATTCATCACGTATACTTCCAGGTGTTCATGGCCGAATTTTTGGCGTCGAGGCCGATCATGTTGACGATTCAGGCGGATGAAGAGGAGAGATTCATGATCCGTTCCTCGGGTATCTGTGTCTGCACGGGCTCAGGCTCTCGGTCCTGGTTCAGGACGATGAATTTGCAAACCGCCGAAACCGTTCAAACGCTTGTGGCCATGGCAACTGGTAGGCAACTTAACGAGAAAGAAACCCGCGAAGTGTTGCACAAGTATCACAGTAACCTCCTGTTTCCACCAGGTAGGAGAATTATAAAATTAATTTCTTCCGAATCTTCAATAACATTTCTCCAAGTAGTCGTTGAAGATTAATAGCGATACTGCAGTTTAACATTTTATTAGGTCAATCTATATAGATTTTCGATAAATATAGGTTGATTTAATGAAAATATTAAACTGTGATTACTAAGACATCGAACATTTTACAGACAATTTAAAAATGGCATATATGATATATGAGATGTCTCGAAGTCCGCTGTGGCCAAAACTTATTTCGGACAAGCGAATGTGTTGCAGAATTAAAATCAAGTCGACGGGATTTGATGCTGGCCTTGTTCTAGATGGCTGCGTGTCTTTACCTTTCAACGATGGCAGCACCGCGTCCTTCGAGATCCGGCCCGAATACTCATTGAAAAATATTATTTTGCAATAAATATAGTCGTTGTAACTCCACATTGTTGATAATTTCTTTCTTTGTCTGGATTATATAAAAAGTTCTTTCAATTCTCTCTCAATAGAGGAAAAATAAAAGGGCAATCATGTTGTAACTACACCTTTCTTTTATTATAAAACTTCTTTTACAGCATATCGCTTGTATTGAATTTCTGATAGCGTCAGACCGATACGGACTAAAAAATCCTCCTCTCGAGCCTACAGATTTATGCAAATATTGTTATATTCTCTCGGTAATGAGACGGACGGCTTAGTAGGATTTTATTTTCAGCGGTGAAGAAAACGGGCACTCTCCTTCTCCATGACGACTTACAAGGTGAGGT